TGAGTGGAAAACTAACAATTTTTTTTAAACCTATGTATATATCTATTTGATTTCACTTGGCAAAATCAAATAGAGATATATTACATGCTATTCGTACTGAACAGGTGAAATAAAATAGATATATATGGGTATAAAAAAAAACTATACACACACATGATTAATGAGGGATGAAAAAATTCATAAAAAAATTCATTTTGTGAATTGTGAGGGACGAAAAAAATTCATTTTGTGAAATGTGAGGAACTATGAATCGAATTATGTAAATTTGATTTGACAATTTTATCTTTAAAAAATGATCACGTGCAAGGTACGTAGTGAATTTTGGGCAAAAACTAATCGAAGGAACCAAATTTGACCAATGTGAATTTGTAAAGGACGTAAAATTACATTTTAAAAAGTGAGAGACAAAAAAAGTCATTTTGTAAAATGTGAAGGATATTTTGAACGATTTTTCCTATATATATATAGGAAAAAAAGTTTCAGTGGCTCTCAAACTATTAGCCGGATGAACTTTTGGGCCCCAAACAATTGAAAGTGAACTTTTGGCCCCCGATTTATTCAAAATAGAAAATGTTAGACCTTCTGTCAAATGCAGCAGCTATTACCGACGGAAAATACGACCACATGAGACGCACGCCGAAATACGCAGTGCATTAAGTCTTTCAAGCTTATATATTAAGTTAATCAATCAATTAGTGCCAACAATAACTTGAAATTTTCTCATTACGGTGCAATGGAACATCTACAAGACTACAAAAACACTAGCCTGCCAAATTCGCTAGGATAGTATGGTTGGGTGATCGCATCTCCAATTCTCAGTGGAAGCATTGGAAATACTTGTTGGAAGAGACCAAGTCCATCCCAGACTCTAGCTTGCAAATCAGTTCCACATTTCCACTTTGGATATCCAACAAATTCATTGAAGCAGCTCACAGCATACCCAAAAAGCCTAATGCACCAAATGGACAGATACGTAATGCTTATAAGCCTCATCCAATATCCATGAGCATGCGCATAGGACTTTAGCAGAGCTTAATTCTGAATTAAAATTTTTGCTTTCAGGGTTGGCATCACGCCCCAAAACTAGGACATATTGTCACATTGTTTAGAATCAAAACCAAAAGAACTAACTTCTGAATCTTCCTACCATGTACATCTGCAGCAATTGGCAATAATCAAGATCAACCGCAAATTCAACCTGTCATGCAAAATAAAACCATTCACTGCCACTGTCTAATTCGATATATAAAAGTTATCAAACAAAAAAAAAAAAAAAATCAAAGCAAGGCTAATCTAAAGAAGCCTTTAGTTTTCTCTAGAAACCCCCATACTTGATCATACATCTTCAAATAAAATGTGTTCTTCATTGAAAATATTAACAAATGGAGTCTTCAACTATATCAGTAACTAGATATCCGGTCCTAGCTATTTGTTCCGTCTGGCAGGCTAGACAAAAGGTCCCTACCTATTTGTCTCACTAAGTAGGCCGGACAGACAGAAAGTTCCTAGCTATTTGTCCCGCTAGGTAGGCCAGATAGACGAAAATGATAGAAATAGTTTCAAAGATAGTAACCAAGAATCACGAGCTCATACTACAGAACATACATTGTATTCAAAATTTAGAAACAAATCATATCCATCTTTATCATAATTCTTTGTATGTCAAAAGCAATAAATGTATTTTTACCCGCACTGAATTTCATATTAACATAAACAGTTGAAACCATTTTCATTCATAAAACCTGAGTTGAAAATGAACGAGCCCCAAAACTACTTACCTTAGCCAAATAAACCAATACCCAACTTAACTCAAGTAATTCTCGTTGTACGTGTCCTCCCTGCCCATAAACAATTCCAAATTACTTAATTCGAGACCTATGAAATGAGAAATATAGAAATATGCTTCCCACACCTATGAGATGAGAACCTAGTTCAAAGTAGCATTATTATGTATGATTTTCAGTTTTGGCAGTGCTTAGTTAAACAAACATAACTAAAGCCATATGCATTTAAAAGCTACAAAGTTAGTATAGTTGAAAACTAGGCTCCTAATACTAACAATTTCTAAAAACACAAACTGGCCTATCATCGTTCAAAAGCAGGACATTTCTAGTGCTACTATACAGTGCAGAACCAAAATTTCAGTCAACTTCCCGAATTTTCTGGTATCAAAAGGGAAAGAATCAGAACCTGTATTTTATACGTTAGAAATTTCTATGAATCTAGTTTCAAACGCAACTTAAATCGCTCAATTCCGATATTTCTATACCAACTTATGACTAATTTCCCAGAATTGTACATGGCTGACTGTTATAAAAGAATTGATGAAATCCAAGTTTTCCTTAACTATGTAACCTAGTATCTATTCTATTTGCCTTGTCCAATCTTTAATTACGAGTTCAATAGCAAAGTATACGAGAGATTATTCCAATCCCAAACCCTCCATCCTTAATTTCGATTTCCAATCAAGTTTCCAAATGACAACAATAACTTAAAACCAACATGTAACAATGCCAACTACATAATAACCAATTCGAAATTCCTTAAATATCTCATAATCGCACATTCAAGGAACAACTAATCCTTTAATTATAATCAACTTCCACAAATATTAAGATATATTCCCAACTACATCAAAACCATATGCAACTTAACATTATACTCGAAACCCAAATAATGATCTAATCACAAAACTCACTTTATCCATCAAACTTTATCTGCCGGAGTACAATACCTTTCAAAAGTCAACATTAATCCTATAGAGAAATCAATGCTTAATGATAAACTCAATATAATATCATCAATCAAACTAATGTATCCTGAAAGACTTGCACAAGATCTATATGACAAAATCAAATTTTTTTTTCTTTTAAAGTTCTAAGAAAATGCTACAAAAATCATGCAAATAACTCTAACAAGAAGAAATTCTCAAATTCTAAGTCGCTTTCAGAGCCAAACTTTTGGTCAACTTTAAAAATCAATAGCTAGGATGGTGAAGAAATAAAATATTTGATTGAAAGCTTTTTGAGTCAAAACTTCACACATAACAAATAATACTTTACGATGCTTAAACAAGAAGTATCAGCTAAAATCCAAAAGTCAAGTAAAACTGGCTCCACTAATGAATAGTATGTTATGATTTTTCCAATAAGTGACAGTTTATACCTAATATTATAAGAAAATATCTTACATTCCTTTCGATCATGGATTCTTAACTACCAAATATAATATAAAAATCCTTCACTACCCACACAAACAAATAGCGTATAACTCGTAAATATGATTGCCTATATATATATACACAATTATAATCATACCTAAGTTTCGCATCAAATCAACATCCCTAATATCGAATTGTTCAATGTACTAAAGTAAACCTTATTTTCATTTTACCACCCAAATTATGATAGTGTACCAAATTATTCATCACATATCATTGAACTATGCTTCGTAATAAATACATCTTTCCAACTGACATAATGAATGAGAGAAATACATTCTAATGATACTGTTGTTCTTTTTGTCGTCAAGATAAAAGAATATCCGCATAGGACTTCCAATGTAATGGGCAAAATAGCTGTTAAGAATTTGAGCATGTGGTATTTGGTCACAGCCTTTTACAACCGTCGCTTACAACTGTGCTGCGTGGTGTACGCATTAATACAACTTATTTAAACACTAAAATAACATATACATGATAATACAAATTGGCTCAATTGATAAGAATGAATCACTTCTTTTATAAAAAATCATATATTCAAATCTTGCTGTCGATGTGAGGTTTTATACTGGGGAATGATCTGTACAAATCTTTGATCCTGAAGTCATATCCTGACCTATAGTGATGATCAAAGCCAAATTCATCTAAGTTTACCCTTACCAAAAATGAAAAAACATACATAGCAACTAAGACAATAATGTGGAAAAAAAAAACCAAATAACGTTCAAAAGTTGTGTCTCATAATTTATTGAATAGATGGCCAAAATAGTCACTTAACTATTAAAAATAGCACCGCTTCATTACCAAACTCTTTTTTTTTTTTTGCCAGAAAGGTCATTTAACTGTTTATAACGGGCCTCTTAGGTCATGTCACTCCATTTAGCCGGTAAACCAACTGGTCATAAGCACATGATTTGCCATCGCAGGTTTTTAGGGCAAAAATGCCCTCAAGTGATTGACACATACTTTTTCAAAAACACACCCCAAACTTTAGGGGCTAATCCTTAGTTTAGTCAAACTTCAAAGGAGATAAATATAATTAACCAAAAAAGCCTAACACAGAGGCTGCCGCTTTGTGCTTCTTCTTCCGGCTCGGGATTCACTGATGATTATGAGAAGAATTTTTCAAGTACAAAAGGATCAGAGGACCTCTTCTTGTTTCATGATTTACCAGCCAAAAAATTCCTACAACAATCATCATCATCATTTTCAACCCTCATCCAAATTCAAAATCTCAATTTTTTTTTTTTTTTTTTGCATTTCCTTCAATTTCAATCCAAAAATCATTCATGGCCGTGACCAAAAATCAAAAAAGCAAAAAATATACTCCTTTACAAATTCGAGGGGTAAAAGTATATAGTTAATAGTTAGAGAGTCAAAAATCAACTAACTTAAAAGCTATCCAAATTTTTTACCGATTTCTTTTAACAAAAATTCATATTATCAGGCTTTTAACCGCTTATTAGTTAATAGCCCACTTCCACGAAAAATTGGGTTAAACTAAGAAAAGAAATGAAAACAACTAATTAATAAAATTATTTTGTGTAGAAATAATTTTCATTAATTCTCTTAAATAAAAGGTTAATAATTGTATACACGTCATGTGTGCCTTGCACACCCGTATTCATAACCAATACATTATCAAAACTTTAATAAATTGCAAAAAATTTCCAACAGATACATGTGCCCTTCTTTCTTTTCCTTCAAACCGAAGCAACATGGAGAGCAAGGCAATGCATAATTTAATCAAATACTGCTAAATTATTATAGGCGAATAATGTGGGAACAAACAACACCAATAATTTCGAAAAAACAAGAAAAACCAAAAGCAAAATTACAAATGAGCCACCAAAGCCTCCTCTTTCCATTCTCTTCCCCAACAATCAAAAACGGAAAGGCCACAATATTCTACATTTCCCATAATCACTAACTTTTCCCCGTTGGGTTGATCATTATCAATGAAAAAAAAGCTCATAAATTCCTGGCCGTCCGATTAGATGACTTATGTCGCCGGCCTTCATTGACTCTTCTGGAGCTCCGCCTCGCGCCACCACTCAAAACCCTAACGGTCAGATTTTTCTCACCTCATTTTCTTCTTCATTTGAATTTTTCGATAGTAAAAGAAATATTTATAAGACTAGTGCAATTTCTGCTTCCTCGGATACGATTAATCCAATGGACCCTAATTTCGGGTTCAATTCTCCGGCATTGGGCCCCACCAAGCCCGGTGAACTGTCGTCTAAGGCGGCTCCTCGGATTACCCGGCGGAAGAAAGCCATGCCAGCCCATCATCTCCGCTCAACGGGAGATGACCCGGGTGTTAATCCCTTTCGACCCGTATCTGAAATGAGTTCCGGGTCGGGTTTTCTTAATTCGGGTCATTTTGATCTGAGAAGTGATGCATTTGCATTTGGGGGCAGTAGAATTGGTAGTAGTGACGGTAATTTATTTTCGAATTCGAGATTGGATAGTTTTATGGAGAAGAATGAAGTAGCTGATGAAATTATGAACTTGAGAATTGGAAAAGAAAGAAGTGTGAATTTGGGTGGAAATGTGAAGAAAACGAGTGCGGATATTGATGAGACGGCTGAGTGTGATTTGCCAGATTATATGAGACAGTTAAATATCGAGAATGATGGAAAGGTTAGGAGTTTCAGGGAAGAGCTCCAGAATGAATTGAAGAAATTGAATATTAAAGAGAGTCTAAGTAAGATTAATTCTCAGAGCTTTGCTAATCAGGGAAGTTGTGGAAGCTCAGAGACTGTTCCTCGTGATAACATGGAAAATTTTAAGATCGAAGAGTCACTGAGTGGTCGAGAGAATAAAAAAATCGATAGTGGCTTAGGCCAAGAAGATAAAATGGGAAGTGGAAACTTGTCTTCAGTTACAGCAGAATGTAATCAGAAGCAGGCCCGAAATTGGTCTGGTCCCAAGCCTGATAATGCTTCTGACTCGATCCCTTCAGGGCTAAGTGATAGTTTGAGTGATAGTCAAGTGCGTTTGGAAGATCAAAGTTGTACAACATCGTCATCGCCATTTGTGGGCAGTGGTGTTCGTTTTGATGGTTTTGGGAATGCTGTTGAGGCTACATTTCAGGATAGAACTGAAAAGAAAGTTCATTTTAGTTTTAGTAGCAAGTGGGATGACATGGGGATGCAAAATGTAGAGTTTAAAACACCGAATATGATAGGAAACTTGAATAGAAAATTTGAAACAAAAAGGGATTCGTCTAAAGCCACTAGATCAAAGAAAAAGAAAGGGAAGTCAAAAAACCTCAATCCAGTTCAGCTGAGTTCCACACAAGATATTATCTTGGGGGAAAATTTGCAGGAAATTGATGACTCTTGTGAACCGTATTCTCCAATGGATATTTCTCCCTATCAGGAGACCCTGGCAGAGAGTAATTTCTCAAGAGAAACTTCAGTAACATCAGAAGAGACTCTCCATGTTGATGATGATTGTGCCTCAAATGAGTCACGTCCAGCAGTTTCAAACGATATGACAGATGAAGAACTGGTTGATGCTGCAGAACGTCTGGATATAAATGATGATGAAAAGTGCAAAGAGAAGGAAGAGGAAAAATCTGCATACTGTTTTGATAAAGTATTTAATGCCGAGGGACCTTCTGAAGAGTCTATATCGGGGACCGAGACGGAAAGCTTCAAATCTGCAACCGAACACTTAGACTATAGCACTGATAGCTTTGTGACTGCAGCTGATACACTTGCCACAGGTTCGGATACAGAAGTAAATTCTGGCTTAGGGATTGGGAAGCAGGAGGGTGATGGGGACAGTCATTTTGATTTTGCTCCAAGAATGGAAGAGAGTGGCCAGGGTAGTTTCATCTTTGCTGCATCTTCTGCTGCCCAAGGTCAATCATTGACAACAGCTCGTGCCTCCAAGAAGAAAAGTCGATCAAAAGTTGGTCAAGATTCACATTGTTTGTCTCCAAATAGCAGAGACTCGTACTCGTCATCCCGTTTAGATTATTTTCCGGTCTCTGGAACGTGTGCACTTTCGTCCCCCAGGCAAGGTCGAAAAGGTGATGCATCTACCTTGTTGAACCAAACTGGTTATATTTCCGAGCCAGTTAAGAAACAGGAATCCAAGGGAGAGAATAACTCAAGTACATCTGCCAGCATAGTGGCCCAGGAAGCTTGTGAAAAATGGCGACTCAGGTGTGGATTCATTTAGATATTCTCAGAGCAATCTTTACTGTATTCTTGCATGATGATGAATAATAGTCTTATCCAAATGTCTTTTGTGTTCTTCATTTTGGTTGTAGTAGCTTGAGTGGCTCTGCAAATTTGATATTTGGTGTAGCATTTTACATTTTCTGAAACCATGCATATAATGTGGATTTGCATCAGGGGAAACCAAGCCTATGCAACTGGGGATTTGTCTAAAGCGGAGGATTTTTATTCTCAAGGGGTGAACTCTGTTCCTGAAAATGAGACATCCAAGAGCTGTCTTAGGGCTCTGATGTTGTGCTATAGCAACCGTGCTGCAACTCGTATGTCTCTTGGAAGAATAAAAGATGCTCTAGAAGATTGTATGAAGGCTTATGCAATAGATCCCAGCTTCCTCAGAGTGCAAGTTCGAGCTGCAAAGTAAGACCTGTTTACTTCTTGGCTTTTTTCCCCTATTATTATTATTAATATTTTTATTTTTTTCAAATGCAAGATATTATTATTATTATTATTTTATTTTTTTCATGTGTTTGTATAATCTTCTTTTCTTCCCTTGAGTTTCTTCATGAATCAGTTTTGATTTTGTTTTTTTTTTGGTAATGATATAGTACTTCTTTGTTTGTCATGATTTTTGTTCTTTTTTTTATAATATGTTTAATATGCTTTTACAATTGGGTTAGTATTGGCAGTTCCTAGGGTGAGAAACCTCTGCTCTGGTCTTGAATTAACAATGACAGAAGGTTTTTTAGTTGCTTTACCCTAATCCTACTTAAACGCTTTACACTTATAGGCAGATAGCATGGGCAGGTGATCAAGACTAGATTATAGGAACAAAATATTATAAAATAACTTCAAAAATGAGGTTAGTCAGGCCTCCAAAAGCAGTGCGAAGATCTTTATTACTATATCAAATATCAGGGAGGTCAGTGGAAGTAATCCTTCACAGTAGTGCAATTTTTTCCCCCTATGTAGTTACTGAAATGACTTGATCTTAATGTTGAAGAACTAAAAATTTGAAACAAGATTTAGTTGTAGAGAAATGCTCTTATTCTCTTTGAGTACTATCTTGAAATCTCCACAAGTAGCCATCAACGATGAAGTCAATAGTTGTGATAATTCTCTTTTCCTGTCTGTGGAGGTGCGTGTGTGCATTGAGGTCCATGGTAAGATGATATTGGAGATATCAACTAACATTTATGTGGATTGTGGATTGTCCAGCTGTATCAAAAATAAGGATAAAAAGGTAAACATCTTTGATGTGTGGTTTAGAGCACTAATCAAACAAAAGATTGGCTATAGTGATGTCAATTAATTTTGACTCATAATTCCAAAGCCTCCTAAGATTTATAGGCTATATAGCACATTGTTATTTGAATGCTAATGGTGATTCGATTTTGGAAATTGATACAAATTTGATTCACTATTTATGAGTTATATGCTTTGAATCTTGGGAACTGTAATATTGGAGCTTTGAGCAGCAGGAAGGTATAATTATTTTATGCTTTCATGTTTCTTACTGATTCTTTTCTTTAGCTGCTATCTTGCCCTAGGGGAAGTTGATGATGCATCATTGCATTATATGAAGTGCTTGCAAGCGGGGAGTGACGTCTGTGCGGATCGAAAGCTTTTGGTAGAAGCATCTGAGGGCCTAGAAAAGGCACAGGTATAAAAGTACCTTTTTGCTGTAACAAAGCTATTACAGTATAAAATAATGTAGGTAAACTCTCTACAGAATGGTAAAAACTCTATACTGATCTTGGACATTGTACCAACCTTTGGACCTGATGATTCAGTGTTATGCATGCACTTGGAAATTTACCTTATAAAGATCGAACAACAAAATGATTCTTAAGAATCAAGTCAAGGGTTGGAGGTTTGTGGATCTCACAATTGAATATGCTTGTGTGCATAGGTTGTACACCCTTTCTATAATTTGACAAGCTACTTAAGTATAGAAAGTAGTTCCTAGAAAAGAATATTTGTTAAGCACATATAACATCCTTTTATAGTTTACTTTCTCAATTGGAATGCAAGAAAGAAATCCTGCTTGAAATATCTTACTATATGCCTCAATTGCAGTTTTCTGTGGGTTCACATTCCCAAATTCTCAGTTACACGTGATTACAGAATTGGATATTGGACACCCAACCTTATTAGTAGCATACAACTTGAACCAAGTAAATTACTGATGTACCTGGGCCTGGACCTGTTGGGGACTTGGGCCACCAGAAGTTTTAGACTTCAGTATTAAAGAGCTTTGACCCGATTTCTGTTTGTGTAACTTCCATATATTGCAGAGAAAGCATATAGCTTAATCTGTTTGTTCTTGGATTCTGGAAGGTTAAGCAATTTCAATAAATTGGTCCAACTTCCTGACTTTGGCAAGTAGCGTGTATGATTCCTCAAAACTAGGAATTTGTCTTCAAAACTCAAGTGAATCCTAAATCTTAAGGTAGCATTTCATTTCATAGTCTGTGGAATTTGATAGGCCATACATACCATCCTATAGAAAAAGTTATGTCTTTCTTCATGATTGATCTTTTCATGTTTTGTGAAAGTGATTATGAATTGAGAAAAAGGAGATAGATGACAAAGAATGGAGATGGGGTCTAATATAGAGTTAGAGCAGCCTTATTTGTTATGTGTAGTAATTAGTTGTATTAATCAGCTGTTCTTCTTCCAGGTCTGTACAATTTGCAAAAGCTGAATGCCATGCTAGATGGATAATGATTCCAGCCTAATATCTTTTGTTATGCATGGTTAATAATTGATTCAATTTCTTCTAATAAACCCCAAAACCAGAATCTTCTTCCTTTGTCAATCAAGTTATTAGTTACTTGATTTATTGTGTCCACATATAAATTATGTTTCACCATAAACTTTGCACCTTGTAGTTTTAGACTAATCAGTCATATATAGCATCCTCTGCTATTGCTAGCGGAATGTAAAGAAATTGTTAGTTGGGAATCAAGCGTAGTTGAACTTCAGAAGAGTATGCTTACTTGAATTTCTGAAAATTAAATCTTTTCTTCACTATCTATGTTTGTATATTTGGAGTTCCCGGCAAGTGTATTTTAGTTCCCAATCACTGACTGTATTTGTCTTGGTATAAAATCTGACGGGTGAACTTGGAATGTGATTGCATTCATTGCTTTCCCGTCAACTAAACAAAGCCTATATCATTTGTGAGATTGAGGTCAAATTCCTTTCTAGGTAGGCTTAACTTGAGATGAATGTGATTGCTGGTGATGATTTTGCTGATACAAGTCCCTATTAAAAGAAGAATGTCTGCAAAAATGTTGTTTTAATTTTGTTTCTGGATAAATATGCCAAAAAAAAAAAAGAATGATGAATGCAATTTGGAACTTCTAATGAGAGTAATTTTTGATCCATGGCTGCCAGAAAGTATCAGAGTTCATGAAGCAATGCGCCGAATGTTTGCAACAAGGAACGTCTGCTGATGCGGAGACTGCATTGGGTTTAATTGATGAGGCACTGATTATAAGTCCTTACTCAGAACATTTACTTGAAAGCAAAGCTAATTCTCTTCTTATGGTATGTCGCAATATGCTTGACAAAAAATCTTCACTAAGGAGCTTTGCCTAATAATGAAAATTTTCTAATGCACATTCTGCATTGGAATAATTTTCCACTAGAAGTTTATGAATGTTGATTTCATTTTACAGCTACAGAGGTATGAAGATGTTATTCAGTTGTGTGGTCAGAACCTTGGTGCCTTTGTATCGAAATTTGATGTTTCTGACGCACATAAGGACTCTCGTTCCTGGGTTTGGTGCTGTTCACTTGTTGTTAAGGCTCACTTTTATGCTGGAAGGCTGGAGGAAGCTCTTGAATTTTTGAGGAAGCAAGAGGAGTCACTCCCTGTCATAGAGAAGTACCACACTCTATGCATCTGTCTGCATTAACACTATTTTTAAGATCGTCTTAGTGATAAATCCAAGTTGCTAATTTCTGTTTAGTTTCTCACTTGGATCCTCTCTGCAGGGGTCAAAGCAAGAATTTAGAATCTCTCATTCCTTTGGCTGGCACCATACGTGAACTCTTACATAATAAGGTTGTTATTCTTTAAGCCCGTATTTTGATGTCATGCTTGTATTGTTGATGCCATCAACCTTTTCCTCATATTACAATTTAAAAGAAAAACACGAGTGATTAGCCTGAGATTTTCTCGGATAGCTTTTTTAATTCCCATATTCCATCAGTCTTCAGGGATTAGATTCGAAATTTCATGTAAAAGAAGATGTTTTATGATTTTCTGGACATATATATATATATATATATGATTTATTATTGATCTGTTGGACTGTTTGATTTAGTACTCTGGTAAAACTTTAGAGCTATTTGACAATAGCTTAGAGGATCAAAAAATTGTTTTGAGATTTAGCTTATTCTGGATTTTCTTTTTCCAAAGTTTTGGTTAATGTGGATTTCTCTTTTCATTATCTTCCTTTTGGGTCAGTTCTAAAAGGTTTGATTGCATTAGATCTTATGTGAATTTTTGCTATCAGCAGATTCAGCTTATAAACATATTTCTTACATTTTAAGCCATCTATTATTCTAAAGATTTTGACCAAATCTGTCAGGGCTTAGTGATCTTAAAAAGCTTGCTCATAAGAGAGGTAACGTACGTGGTTCCTAAAAAGTGAGGCTTATTCGGAAACATCAGAAGAAACTATAGACCAAAAATTGACTGATCAGACAGTACAGATGAATGTGCTTGTTATATGTGTTCTGTTCAGAGATGGAATAGCCTTGTTACAGGTTACGTTTTAGGGGTCATGATCATCAAAGCTTTAGCTTCCTAACGTAATAATGTATTGACATAATCACATTCAAATCTGTCAGATGGAGTTGGTATAGATTAAGGTCAAGAAAGCTTGTATGTCGTTCTTCTAGGAGTTGAGTTGTTTTGGAGGTGTTAGTTGTTGTATTAATCCTTCTTGAGTGAAATCCTGTTCTTTTGACCTTCAAGATGGTTAGCTTTTCACTTGGCCAGTCACCCTGTGTTGAAGGAGAAGGCTTGGCCATTTCAAATCCATTAGATTGGAGAAGGAAATGCTATTCATTGGTGACATAATGTTTAGAAATAAAGGGATTTTGTAGGATGGTGTTATGGTGGAACTTGGTGATTTGTACACAGTTCAAGGGAAAAACATATGAAAAGGAATGTATTTGCTTCATTTTGAAGGAGAACTTTCTGGATTTAGATGATTTTTTTTATGCCCTAAGCTTGTATTTTTACCATCCATTGATTTAATTTCATTCAATATGGTAATTGAATGATTCCAGCATGCAGTTTCTTAGCTAATGAGTTTTCTGTTTTCGGCAGATTTTGTTATTAGGGTGTGCATATCAGATTTAAACAACAATACTTTTGGTCTCTATAACTTGCACTTCGTCTAATGAGTTAAGAGTAGGTTTTCAGCATTTTGATGAAGCTGTATTTCATGCTGAATTTTCATGATGCATGTTTGGCCCTGAGAGCGCTGATGATATTTCTGGATAGAATTAGGACATCCAGTATTTTCTTCTCATCTAGGTATGTTATTCATAAAGTGAATTTGTAAGCAAAGCAAAAACTCTCCTTCTGGTGACTTCTGAACTCCAATTGAGTAAACATATAGTTTATTGAAATGTTAAAAAGACTATTCAAGAACTTATTTCTTGTGGATACTTGAAATATTGTTAACTGGCAACATTGATCAAGGTTTTTATGAAGATACACATCCTTGGCCTCCATAAAGTTCAGTTGCCATTGATCAAGGTTTTCTATAAAGTTTGATTAGCTTATTTTCTGGGAGCTGTTGTCCTTAATGCATTAATGACTGCATGTCTTATTGGTCCATGCGCCAAATGGAAATTTACTTGGTAGAACCTCCCTGGAATCAAGGTCCCCCCCCCCCTCTCTTCTTATAATGGAGCCATTGACAGAATTATAGACTGCTTGCTTTGGGAAACTAAGTACCACGACTTGTCCACTAAAGTATGCTTACTTGTCCACCACTTGTCCACCTTTGGTTGAGAGAGGGCATTGTGGGGAATGAAGTAGGCTTAGGTGGTGGCTGATGTTATCTGAGTGCAAAAGTAAGTTGCTTCATCTTCCCGGTGCACAGAAAGTAATCAAAATAGAATTGCCTGTTGACCATGGCGCCTGGCTATGGAGGTTTTTGACTAAGGAAGTTTTTATTCTGGGGGGGTGTTGGGGAGGGAGGAATGACTCAAGTAGGAAAGGGAGAAGGACAAGCATGAGATAGAGGGGAAAAGATGCTACTGAAATATCATAATTTGGTTGAATTTTGTCTGCGAGATAGGGAAAGGAGATTTGGGTTTAGCTAGAGATTAGAGAGACAGGACTTAAGGGACCCTTTTACTGCTTAATTTTGATGTCAAAATGCTGTTGCATTCTGTTATTATTAGTATAAAAATGTCATACCAGTCTTTGAATGTTGCTGAAGTTGGGCTTCATTTGGCACATTTAGCTACAACTATTCAGGGTATGGTTCTTTAATGGAATATGATAGGACTGATAGAATTATTGGTGGAAGGTGATGATATATCAATAAAGACTAATTCTTATAATCTTTTAACAGGGAGAAGGAAGACCAAAACACAGATCTGGACTGTTGATGAAATATAGACAGTGTGTAGCTACATGACACACTTGAACTAAAGCAAAATATTATCGTGCATTTAGTTTTTAAAATTCTTATTCTTGGCTGTCTCCATCTTTCTTTATTTGGTTTGCATGCGGGCACAAGTGTTTGTAAACTTCCTCTTTCATGAATTCCAATGCTATAAATTCTTCAAATACATATTAGAAACTGCAAATAGCACCATGTGGAGTTGTTTCCTAGGGTGTAAAGCACTCGTGCATTTTGGCTTCAGGGTGCAGGAAATGAAGCATTTCAATCAGGGAGGCATGCAGAAGCTGTACAGCACTACACTGCTGCTATATTATGCAATGTTGAGTCAAGGCCTTTTGCATCAATATGTTTCTGTAATCGAGCTGCTGCATATCGAGCTATGGGTCAATTTGCAGATGCAATAGCTGATTGTAGCTTGGCTATAGCCCTTGATGGGAATTACGTGAAGGTTTGCCTTGATATGTAGTTTTCAGTATCATGCTGCTTAGGAACTATTTAGTTCAGATTATGAATTGGGACTTTTAAGTCCTCTTAATGCTCTTTTGAATACCGCAGATCACCAAACTAACATTTTAGATCGAAAAAGAGGCTGTTCATCTGACTTTAGGTTTTCTGTATTCAAACAGAGTGGGGTCTCCATGTTGCTTGTGGGAGATTATCATTTAGGAGTCCGAAGAAAATACTTAAGAATGGAGCCAGAGAAATACTTTAGAATGTTTTACATAGTACTTTCAGTACATGAGTTGATTTTTATATCAGTGTAGTTTTCTTCAAGAATTTAACTCCTAGTGCTGGGTTTTTTCCCAGAATGAAATAATCGTTGATCCTTCTATGTTTCCAAAGCTTTTTTGTGTGGCCTCATATGTTGGTTGAACTTTTCCAAATACTTCTTAATTTTCCCAGTCCTTATTTTTTAAAAAATGCAGACTTTTCTAAACTTTGGACAGATGCTGTTAGAAGATAATGTCTGCATCTTTAGCAATGGTTTGCCATCTTCTACCAAGTACATCGTAACTTTGTGTAATACTTGACTTCGAGGAAAATAAGAAAAGGCAATTAATGAATATCTAGTTATTAACCTAAATCAACATAACTAGTGAGGATGGATTTAATGCTGTTAAGTTTTCGATGAGCAACGTGCTTAAAGTCATCTGAACTTTGGTGAAGAATAAATTGGATATTTGAGTGCTTGGAATTAGGTTTTTACTCAATTAGTAAATTTATTGCTTTGAGAAACTTTAGGAGTGCCGAGACAATGAATACTGGATTAGAACAAAAATATACAACTCCACTTATACTTTTTTTTCCAACAAACGATAACAGATTTCATTAATATTAACACTTGATAATACAAGTATTAATTACAAAAAGGGGATACTACCCTCATTTCTTTCATCCCTAACTCAATCAGCCATATTGGGAAGTCATTTTCCCATTCAATGTTATGCACTAGTTTAACTGCAAAATGAGCTAGTGCATGACTGATTTCATTTGCTGCTCTAGAAATAAACACAAAAGAGCACCTGTCAAAACCTTTTCTAAGATCCTGTACGTCCTCTAGAATAGTTGCAATGCTGTACAACTCCACTTATACTGTTTTCAGTACTTTGTACATCTGTTTAGTCTTGGATGCACTCATAGCTTACTTGTTATCTTTTGGGTATTGAAAGTAGTTAAGGATAATTAGAGTGGGGGGAAAAGAAAAAACTTTAGCTGCCACCTGGAGAAGATCTCCCTTTTAGCCAGACTGAGAGAAGTACTCTTCGATACTGGCTACTTTTTGTAGCTTCTGTAGTTTTGCAAACTTGAATTGCATGGCCACATACTTGATTTTGCAGCTGTTTGCATCTTTAAAAGTAAAAGCAGTATATGCATAGCCTCTTTAGATCAAAGAAACTGAATTTTATCTTTTCTTGCTGCAACTGTTAGGTTTCAGACTTAAAATGGTTATTATTGAAATCTTCTTTTTGATTGACTTAGTTTGTCCGTTCACTCTTTTTAAGGGTTGTTACACATTTGCAGGCATTCTCCAGACGTGCTGCTCTTTATGAATTGATCAGAGATTATGGACAAGCAGCTCTTGATCTACAAAGGCTTGTATCTCTTCTCACCAGGAAATTGGAGGATAGAATTTATCAGTTGGCATCATCTGACAGAATGAAATATATAAATGAGCTTAAGCAAGCTCAAATAAAGCTTTCTCAGATGGAAGAAGCTTCCAGAAAGGAAATTCCCTTAAATATGTACCTCATTCTGTAAGTTTGATTTATCCTTATACTCAGTTTCTGAATGTGAATTAATGGCATTTGAGACTGCAGTTGCTGCCAACAATTAATTTTGCTAATTATGAAATATGTGTACTATCATATGTCAATTAGTTGGGGTAATATGGTCTGGCTACAGTCTGCTTGCCTTGCTTCAGCTTTTTCAAAAATTTTATGATGTACAGAATAGTGTGGTACATTTCTAAGATAACCATATTGATGTCTTCGTTTCTCGTTTTTTTGACACTTTTTACTTCTGACCTACTTCTTTGTTGATAGGTATTTTATCAGCATAAACTTTCTCTGCTTGTAGTTAATGAAATTGTTGTACAATTGGAAGAATTTTAGCTGATAAATGTGAAAAAAAGGGCTCTTTTTAGTTTGCTTGTACTTGGAGTAATTTAATAAAAAGATTCTTTTATCATTTACACCAATCACCTTTTTATCACTCATAACTCTATCCAATGAAGTGCTACAGTACTACCTTTCAAGAAAACTCTCCCAGAAAATAAGTTTTTTGTTCCATTCCCCCCTTATATGGATTCAATGGAGAAGACAGATAAAGCTATCTTCTCAGCATGTTGCTTTCTAGTTGGTGTATGAATGCCCTCAACTTAACTCTCATTTTAACTCAAAGTTGAGATCTTATGAGTGGCATTACCATGAAATTTGGTCTTCTATGGCTTGAGATGTTTTCATTTGTATGTTTGATTTAGTTGAGTAGGAAATAGCGCTTGTAAACTCTGGAGAGAACAGCATAGATTAGATCAATTAACAGAAGAGGTTGTATACTTTGTTCCAATGGTTTATAATGGTTTTTGAATTGGTTGAGGATACTTGTGAGTTTTGACTCTTCCAGAGCTATGCCTCATACCTATTGAGAAGATTTACCTGTCTTTTAATGAAAAGGACTTTTTGGCAGGGTTGGCAAATTTTCTTCTATTGGTTTTCCATCACTGGTACATATTTAGTATTAAAAAAGGGGATATCATGCATAAAAGAAGTGTACAAGTACCCTTGTCATTCAAGCAAAGAGTTCATTGCACGTTCTTTGCATGTAGTAATTATCTCACTACTAGAAAACATATAAAACATCTAGTGCTTTACAATCCATAAAAGTTTTGCTAAGTCCTGAAAAGCTCTCCTACACCTTACAACCCATATTACCCACACAAAAAAAAGTGCGTAACATTCCAAAGCTTCGTCATGTGCTGTATACTTTCCCTGCCTTCTTTGAAAAAAATGACATCTAAAATTCTTCTTGGCATTTCCCAGAGTTCCGAACAACTTGACACAAGTTCCCAGCAATCCTGGGCCAGAGTTCCACTGTTTCCTTTCTGCCAATATACTTAAAACCTTGTGCTTGTTTTCAGCTACAAGTGCTTCACAGTAGCATAGTGGAGAAGAGTGGCACCATTTTTGGAGCTTTTTGTTTTCCCAAATAGGCTCAGGGGAAAAATGTTTCTTGTCATTCTAGTATCTCTGGGAAAAAGGGATTTCCATTTTTTAAAACCAGTTGGCCTCTGCAATTCCTCCCCCTTCAATTGAAGTTGTGTAATCAGAGCCTTGGAAGCACTGTAACTGCCAACCTTTACAGATACCTGCTTAATTGAACATTATTTGAGCAGCCAATTGGTCCGAGAAATTGTGGAAATTTGCAGCAAGTAGGATTAAAACAAGTAAGCTATAATGAAAATGGATGGCAGATTGATGCAAACAATGACAGAGTTTATAAACTTCACAACTTTTTGCATTTGAAAAAATTTCTGGTACAACAAATCCTGTTAAACATTTTTTCAGATTTTTTCATTAGTTGGGTTTGATGAACACCTCCTTGGTTTTACAGAAAACTTTCTTCAGTTCCTATGTCATGGTTGCGCTAGACATGATTTCAACCTAAAAAGTTCAAAATAGTTTCTAAGTTGAGGGATATACATGATGTTTGTAAATTTGTTGTCTTAGATGTTTCTAGATAGATATCATTCAGCCTTTCTGTCTATACTAGAATAGGAAAGATTAGTTGTTAGAATGACTTAGGGTGAGGTTTAATAGTTTTTTCTTTTGTTGAAGCATTAAGTGAGCTTCGACAGATATAACAAAAAAGTCGAATATGAAAAGGAAATAAGCAGATGCATTGATCTCACCTGGCACTAGGAATTATTTGAGCAGTTCAGTTACAGTGAGTAATTTGGTGGTTTAGGTAATAATGAGAAATTTGGAGTCAAACAGCATTTTTTTATATGAAGCATGGTATAGTTCTATCTGCATTATTTTCTTCTACTTCACAGCATCTTTAAGAACTCTTGCTACTTGTAATTCAATATTTGGTAATTTGAATTTACCAAAAAAAATGCTTTTGCTATTGCTTGGAACAGATCTGTATAACTTTTGATATATCTGGTGACTAACAATACTATGGGCATATCATGATCCTCTGTAGATGTCTGGTCCCTTGGAGCTTGGTGGGATTTGAATCAATGGAATGGAAATTTTGACGCTTGTTGCTTTAATTGCCTGGTCAAATATGAACTTTGGTGGATAGTCAACTAAGCTGTTATGCAGGGAAAAGAGAATTAGAATTAAGTGAGATTAATTTTCGTAATTGTTATGACATTACTGCTTTGGCATGGAGAGATTGGCAGGCGGAATAGGTCTGACAGAAGAACATTTATTTTCAGGATCTTTGTGTTGAACCTACTCTTATAGCCCCTATAGGGCATGTTTTAGAAGATATGCGTATTTAGTCTGTAATTTATCAGAAAGTATCATTGTGATTTAGATGTGACTTTTTCCTGGTTACATGTCTTATGATATTATAGATCCTTCCCGTTAATAACCGAATTTAATGATATTGTATTGCCAGGGGAGTTGATCCATCAGCAGCAGCATCAGAAATTAAAAAGGCTTATAGAAGAGCTGCGCTCAAACATCATCCAGACAAGGTTTTGTGCTTAAATTTCTGCTGCCATATTCACATGACTTTGACATTACTCTTACATGGAAAAGCAATACCTATGTAGGCTGCGCAATCTTTGGCTAGAAGTGAGAATGGAGATGAAGGGATGTGGAAGGAAATAGCAGAAGAAGTTCATAAAGATGCTGACAGGCTCTTCAAAATGATTGGAGAGGCATATGCAGTCCTTTCAGACCCTCTCAAGGTATTGCATTTATTCATCGCCTTATGCATCTTGTAGAAACAGAGTCTAAAATTGGTGCACTGTAGCAGAAACCCACTGACCACAGAACATTTTGGCAACACTGCGAGGAGTTGAATACAACTGGAGTTACAGTTACAAAGACAAGATAAAGCATTGGAAATTAATGCAATTGTCCTTTTCTAAGACAGGCCAAGGTTCCTCATTAGCATTTTTAGTGACGAAATATCTAAAAGAAGGGCTATATTTACTGCTTCCTTTTGTTAAACTAAAAGCTAAGTAGTGCGATAAATTTATAGTTTTGCATAGTCATATCTCTTAGTAATTTAGTTACTAATTTAGAAGAAAAGAATCCAAATTAAAACATTTCATTTTCTGGTTTAACCAAATTAAAATGTTCTATTAGGATTGCAGCCTCACATTTTGACAGTGAGGAAGCAAATGTGAAGAAAATAATGAAACACTCAACTTGATCCTTAAACAAAATTATAGAGGCTAAATAGAATGACTGGGCGGGGATAGTGAATTATTGCATATAGCCTTAATTATGATAATATACATGTTCTTGCCAAAGCCTTTCTGCAGTATGGAAGCAAGTTTCAAATTCTAGACTTCGGTTATCTGATGAACGAATCATCAAGTTGGAACAAAGAATTGGTTTTTGTCTGTGGTATGGGCTTGTGCCTCAACAGTAAAATCAGGTGCAAGCAGAGTTGATTGAGTGTTTTAGTTGCAATGATCATTTGGCTTTTTAGTGTGTTGGAATCCCAATCTAAGTTAAACTGCTTTGCACACATTTAAGTTACAATATTCCTGATGAGGAGGTTGAATTCTTTTCATTCTAATCCCTGACATTTATTTCATTTTTAGATGGAATAAACAAGAAAGCAACTTTCTTAAATGACCTTCTAAAATTGCTGCCAGGTTACAAACCTCATACTTTGTGGTGATATATTGGCAAAAGGTCATTTGAAAATGGTTTTGCTTGGGAAGGCAGAAGAGATGAATTAAGGACTTGTTACTTCGTTAGCATATGGATCCTCAAGTCTCTTACACCAAATCCTTCTGTTATTTGTTTTCTTGATGCCCTTCTATATTTCTTGCAGATGATGCTGCTTTCATGTCCTAGTAGCCCTTTTCCATCACATTCGTAGTGCATTGTTAAATTTACCTTGCAGAATCTATCCATTCTACAACTACTGTGCTGTGCATTTTCTTCTCCTCTGACTTCTGCTTTTCCAATTATACATACAGCGGTCACAATATGATATGGAAGAAGAGATAAGAAATGGTCAGAATACAGGCAGTGGAAGAAACACATCCAAAATGCATGCAGATTTCCAGAATTACCAGTTTGAGAGAGGTGGTGGCAGGTGGCAAGAGGGCTGGAGATCCTATGGGAGCTCCCAGTTTAGGAGTGCAGAAAGGAACCGATCAAGCCGGTATCCTTGATACCTTTTAGAGGCTTCACAATTGGAACTTAGAGCTGCTAGTCAATTGACTTTACCTGATGCCTTGTTACCACTGCTATAACATCTCGACAGTGTGTGGGTAGGCCAAGAGATAGGTGAAAGGGTTATAGCTGCTCCACGAGATGGTCGATAGACTAAGATCTACATCCAGTTTGGTTATAGCTGCTCCACGAGATGGCCAAGATCTACATCCAGTGTGGTTATCAAACTTGAAAGCTTGAGTTCATAAGCCACTTCAAGGCATTAAAAGAAGTGATCTTTTTGCTGAATTTTGCCACCTAAAACCGATGCTGCAGCTTTATGCATGTGCATATCTCCATGAGAATGATGGTCGGGATACTGTTGTCATCAGTTTGTATAGCAAAGAAGGATGGTTTGTGAATATCTTAGTCTAGCAAAAAGAATGGCAAATCGCTACGTTCACCAATGCAGTGGCATGTTTTTACGCACGTACAGGAAGATCTGATGTCTTTGAACACTTGAATTTCGAGTGAACTGTGAAATACAAATTTGACAAGAGTTCAACAAAAGGCTGGAGGACGGCCATCTGACAGTGGACTGCAGACTGACTATATCTCTCTTTGAAGGCCAAGCACTATAATCCGACTTAAACAGAATTGTCTCAGCATGTTGCATGTGTTTTCTTTTTGTAGTTATGTGTCTTGAGGAAGCATATTGATTTGTACAGCGGTTGCCAATATTGATCATTTGCAAATTCGCTTGCTAGAGTGGATTTTGTAAACGTAAAAATGAACTTTTGTAATCAACAGAAAAAACAAAGACAGGAAATTTCTTGCTTTGGCATTTATTGAGAATCAGAACTTGGTAGTAAAATGATTTTTATACTTAGCAAAGTAAAGCTGTCCATGATACTCCTCATCTCAAAGCTTTTATTTTTTCTTCAAGTTTCTTCATCCTTTAATTGGAATCCCAGAAACTTTTCTTTTTTCCTTTTCTTTCTCCCTTTCAACTAGAAGTTAGAAGTACTGACTTATGCAGAATTATGATGCAGAGAAAACGGAATAACAAGAGGAAATTAGTGCATGAATTCTAGTAAAAAGATGTCATTGATCTTTCCTTTTTTTCCCTTTTAATGGTAAATCAAAATGGTCAAAAATTCGAAGTTTTTTTGCAGATCTTTCTCCTACAATTCTGTGGGTACCTCTTGTTTAAGAAATTAAGATGCGATCATTAGGTGTTAATAGCAGTATCTTTGTACAAATGACTGAAATATCAAGTCTGCACTTCAGTTAAGATGTTAAATAGATGCATGTATATTTGTTTTGCCATTACCACAAGCTGCATCTGGCTTGATTGGTTAAAGTAAAACTATAAGGGTTTTTCTAGCAGGTTTCCTTAGAGACTCGTTAACACAGTTAATATTCACCTAATCTATTATATATATATATATATATATATACACACATACACGCATACTAACAACTATTATCCTCTCTTGCATTTACATACATTTCTTATTTAATCTTGCCTACCCTTCATTGTATTTATTCACTTTTCCTAATTAATTTTATATTTTTAAAAAATATAATACCCGAAATATATCTTAACAGGTGCCCTGTTAGAAACTATAATTGGCTCATATAATCTTGCTTTGCTTCGTGGTGGTTAGGATCAACAGTTCATTAGATGCAACATTGACCAAAATGATTTTTTTTTTCAAATTAGTTCTTGGAAAATCACATTAAAGTGTTTAACATCAATACAAAGATTACAAAGCTCTTAAGAGAAAAGAGAAAAGACAGTTGAATAAGTTTATGATTTACCAAATGTATTGAAAATCCTTCAAATTATTAATCTTTAACCCATCAAGCTAGATGCACATTCAAGACTTATACAAAGTAAAGTTCAATTAGAGGCTACAACTATAAGAGATTAACAAAACATCACATATTTTCTTGAAGGAGAACATGTTCTACTTTTTTGGCAATGTTTCACCTACAATTTCTATGTAAAAAAGTAAAATGCTTCAATTAGGTTAAAACACGATAAAACATGTTGATAAACAGTTTATGGTACGAATACAATACGAAAACTAAATATATCATGTATAACTTTAAATATAAATGTCGAATAAAATTATGATACGACATGTTCACGACCCTAGTGCAAATATTAATCTTATTCTTCCTGTCTCCTATGGGATGTGTTATCCCAAAAGTGACTCCAGGAAAAGTGAGATTATTATGCCACAAAGTCGGTTGAGTTGTCCCTCTTCTTTATTCTAACCAAAGATTAAAGTAAGATTAGATTAATAATCCTATCCAACCTGGTCGGTGTACTACAAACTCTATTTTATGCCGATTTTCAGGTCAAATTTGCAATTTTCAATGTGACATCAATTGAATAACCTTCTGAACTGGACATTCCTTCTACCAATACTGCAGCAATTCTGGTGCAGTTTTCGTCAAATGAGATTATTTTCAAGGACACTAATTAATGGGGTTAATTATATTATTTATAAGATGCACCCTTAAAAGTACATGATTCTTAGTTTGCACCCTTTATTGTGTATTAAATCATTCCATTTCCAAAAACTTTTCAATTTTACCCAATAGGATACAATCATCGTAACAAAGCTCAAATTGAATCCAACTTCATCAGTTTAGATGCACAAATTGCAGGAAAATGACATATATGTTTCAATAGAAAATTAGTTTGGAGATAAACGTGAGACTTTACGTGGATAAAAATGGGTAGACAGATATAACTTCTATGAATATGAACAAAAATTACAATTTTTGAACAAAGACGCCCTCATGTGTTACATATTTTGACCCAAGTCGACATATTATTGATGTAATTGAAGAATTTATTACTTCTTTCTTTGCAACATGTGATCTCACAAGAATTTATTATTGACATGAATTCAATTTGGGTATGCTAGGTGGATTATATCATACATGGAAAAGTTAAGAGATTTTAGAGATTTTCATTTGAATGGTTAAAATTAAAAAATATATATATATAATTAAGCTCGTTTTCAATTTATCCATAAATAGGTTATAACTTAAGAATTTCTTAAGAATGACGACAAATCAGGGTTAATTACAAATTCACCTCAAAGTTAACGAATTTCCACTTTGTGTCTTTTACTGTACAATTTATTTAATTCATCCCGTAAACTTTCAATTTGTATCCTAAAAAACTCTTGTCTAAAGTGAATTTACTTTGTCTTTTTAGTCGCACTTATTGCATGAAAATGACACACATGCCCTCAATAAAATAGTGGAAAACGTGTGATGCTACATACATAAAATGAGGAAACAAATATGCCCCTGTACAGAAATAAATAAAAATTACAAGGTGGACAAAGATGTTCCCCAATGTACATTTTCGTCTTGAATTGACAAATTATTGATTTAAAAAGAAGGCATATATCTACTTTCGTTGCATTATTCACCCCACATAACGGAATAAGATTCACTTATTCATCTTGGGATTGTTAGGTTGATTACATACAGAAAAATTAAGAGTTAAGGATGTAGATTAATTAAATTGGATCGTCAATAGAAGAAAGTGAAAAACATGCATTTTCCAAGGGAATATTGTAACTAACCTTCAATAAAAAGTTAAAAACGTATATACACTGTCAGCGTTGGATGAATGACAATTATGTAAAATTTGAATTTGAAATTCAAATTTTACACATATATCACGGATCTAAATGATGATAATATATATACTGTCGGTGTATGTAAGATTTATTCAATTTTATTACATCTATGTTTTTATTTAGCAATAACTTTAAGATTTTTCTATTCTGTAGCTCCGAACAAAATATAAAAAATAGGCATACGGTTACTATGAATGTTCAAAAATTTGTATCTACCTCTTAAATTGTGTTCCATTTACCCAAAATTATTTGCATGGTTATTGAAAAACATGATAGGCTACTATATTCTGAGGGTACAAAATAAAATCATTAGGGATCGTTTCTTTTTAATCCTCCGATCCCTTTCTACACCTTTTCAACCCTTAATTGCCAAATGCAACATTCAAACTCTGAACCTGATCGCAGGAAAGATTCTAAGAGTCATTCTCTGTTTATTGGGCTGATCCCAATGGTTAAATCACCAGTACAAATAAAATGGCAAATGATATTTCATAGCACCTAATTTACTTCCGCAACAAATTTCTTCTAAAGTAATATTATATAGAATAGGACTACTATAGCACTTTTTGAGATGTAATGTATATTAAATAAAAAAATGATTGAAAAATAAAAAATTATTTTGTGATACAAGCAAGCATCTTTTTTTTCGTAATAATAATATTTATATAAGCTAATTTATCATATTCTATAGGGAGAAGGAATGTAAGAGACTAACAGCTAATTTGATTAGATTAACGGAGTGCTTTGACACTTTTTTCAGATTTTTTTCACCTAAATCAAAATTCGGTGGTTTTGATGCAAGCAAATTCATCTCTGAGTAATTTTGCTCCCGACTGGCAAAGTGAAGTAGGGTGTTTGTGCTACAAATGTTGCGAGCTACAAGGTCCAAGTGGACTAATAAATGCCCGGCCACAGCTCACATCAGCAATCCGGCCGACAACGCACAACTAAATCGACAAAATTGCCCACCGCCACGTGCTTGAGACGTGCGCGTGCTTCCACGCACCGCCCTTGGCCAATGTGCTAGTTGCTACTTTACGTGTGTCTGACAAAGGGGTGAACAAAAGCAATAATCATGTACAGTCGGTTCCAGTATTTAAATTACAATTGCCATGTTGTTTACCATTAACTCATTTGACTGAAAGGGACTCCATGACCATGACGTTAAACATATTACTACATTGTGTTTGTGTGTAAATTTCTAGTATATAATTGAAAAAACAAGATAAACAAAAGAAAACACAAACATGTTCTTTGACGTTATAGGAAAGCTTTTAGGTTAATTTTCTTCTTTTTGTATCCCTAGTCACCTATTTGTATTAATTATTCGTCACTATTACGTTTATTGAAATTTTTTGCATTGTTTGTCTGCTTATGAATGAGAAAAATACCCTTTCAAACCTATTGTTTGGTAGATTTGCTAATTCGATCATCGCTATTATTTTACCATAAACATCATTCCTTATATATCAATTTTTGACCAATTAAGGACAATTGGCAATTAATCTCTCAATTTGGATGGAGGATAACATTCAATCAGTCAATTATGATTGAATAAAGCATGTGAGAAACACGACATGTGAGTGGCAATTAATCTCCCAATTTGGATGGAAGATAACGCTTAATCAGTCAATTATGATTGAATAAAGCCTGTGACCAATTAAGGATAATTGGCAATTAGTAGTCTCCCAATTTGGTTGGAAGATAACATTTAATGAGTCAATTATAATTGAATAAAGCGTGTGAGAAACACAGACATGTGAGTGGCAATTAATCTCCCAATTTAGATGGGAGATAACACTTAATTAGTCAATTATGATTGAATAAAGCCTATGAGAAACACGACATGTGAGTCAAAACACATTTCGTTTCGTATATATCAATTTTTTGACCAATTAAGGATAATTGGCAATTAGTAGTCTCTCAATTTGGTTGGAAGATAACATTTAATCAGTCAATTATAATTGAATAAAGCGTGTGAGAAACACGACATGTGAGTGGCAATTAATCTCCCAATTTGGATGGGATATAACACTTAATCAGTCAATTATGATTGAATAAAGCCTGTGAGAAACACGACATGTGAGTCAAAACACATTTCGTTTCGTATATATCAATTTTTGACCAATTAAGGATAATTGGCAATTAGTAGTCTCTCAATTTGGTTGGAAGATAACATTTAATCAGTCAATTATAATTGAATAAAGCGTGTGAG